AAAAAAAAAAAAAAATTTTACTTTTTCAAGAATAGTCTTAATTCACTAAATAGGTTTTCCTTGGGTCTCTCTACTGTTTCAGGTACTATACAAGGATGTGATCAACTCTTCCTCAGGTACATAAAGAGAGCTGCACAATAGAGACGGTTTAAATTTGATCTTTTTTTTTTTTTTTTTGAGTCAGACTCCACAGCCTCAACCTTTTGGGTTCAGGTGATACTTTTACCTCAGCCTCCCAAGTAGCTGGAACTACAGGTGTGCACTATCATGCCCGGATAATTTTTTTTAAATTTTTTTGTAGCGACAAGGTCTTACTATGTTGCCTAGGCAGGTCAATTTGATCTTAAGGAAGGCTGAAGTTAGGGAGGTGGATGAGAGCCATTCCCAGCAGAGGGAAATGCATATACAGAAGCAAAGACTTATAAGAGGGCCTGGAATGTCGGTCAAAGATTCAGTGGGGTTGGAGTAGAGGATTCTTATACACAAAGGTGGAAAGCAAGTTTTGGAAAAGAGGTTTTTTGTGTGTTTTGTTTTGTTTCTTGGTTTAGGGTTCCAATTTCATAGCACTGACTTTGGAGGAAGACAGATCTAGATTAAATTCTGGCTTGACTGCTTCTACCTGTGTGGTCTTGAGCAAATTTCTTTTAAAGATGTGGGGTATCTGGGCTTGGTGGCTCAGCCTGTAATCCCACGCCTTTGGGAGGCTGAGGTGAGTGGATTGCCTGAGCCCGCGGGTTAGAGACCTGCCTAGGCAGCGAGACTTCATCTCTACAATAAATCAAAAAAAAAAATTAGCCGGGCGTAGTAGTGCATGCCTGTAATTCTGGCTACTTGGAAGGTTGAGGCGGAAGGATCACCTGAGCCCGGCAGGTCGAGGCTGCGGTGGCCGGGAGCGGCCACTGCACTCCAGTCTGGGCGACAGAGTGAGACTCCAACTTAAAAAAAAAAAAAAAAGATGTGGGGTATAATTCAGTAGTAAGTGTACAAGTGGTCATCGTACAGGTAAAGTTTGGGCCTCCCTTTGGTCCCCACTTTGCCTGGTTTGAGATCAGGTACCCTTATTGATGTTGTGTTTCCTCCCTTCCCCCAACCCCAACAGTATAATGTGATTGCCAATTCCTTTCTTATAGTATTATTGTAAATGTTCAAGGTCCACTTATGAGTGAGAACATATGGTACTCTCTTCTTTGTCTCTGTGATAGATCACTGAGTATGATCGACTCTAAATCCATCCAAGTTGCTGCGAAGTCCATATGTTGGTCCTTCTTTATGGCTGCGTAATATTCCATTGTGTATATGTAGCACATTTCTGTTTTATCCAGTGAGCAAATTTCTTAACATCTTTAAGTCTTAGTTTTCCCATCTATGAAATAGGGATGATGATGGTGGTGGGAGTGATGCCAATTCCATGCCAGGACTGGGCCAAGTACTCACACACTATGAGGATTATTGTAGATGAGGGAGTGGAGTTAAGAGGGTCTGTGACTTGCCCAAGGTCAAACAGCCAGTGAGTGGCAGGGTTTGGGCCCAGGCAGATTCCAGAGCCTCTGTTTTTTACCACTATACCACACGGGGAGTTGTACGAATTAAGTGATAAATGCAATGCACATAAAGTGCCTCACATAGAGCCTGACACATAGTCACCACTCAGTCATGGAAGTTGTTACTACCAGCAATTATTTTTAGGACAGCTGTGCAGAGAAGTTGGAGTTGACAAGTACTGTACACATTTGGCTTTGCATGGTGGATGGACCACAACATGGAGGGTGGGACACAGAGGCAGAGAGGACCGAGAAGGGTCCGAAGAAAGCATCAGGGATGCAGACAGAAAAAGAGGAGGAATCTAGAACAAAGTCTGCCTCCCCACAAGGTGATCCATGAGCTGTGCCTCATCTTTAACTGACAGATGCAACTCTTTAAAATGAATTTTCACAAAAGCTATTCATGAAAATTGCTTGTAAAGATGTGCCTCAGGCCGGGCTTAGTGTCTCAGCCTGTAATCCCAGAGCTTTGGGAGGCCGAGGCGAGTGGATTGCCTGAGCCCGCGGGTTCGAGACCTGCCTGTGCAACTTGGCGAGACCTTGTCTCTACAATAAATAAAAAACTAGCCAGGTGTGGTAGCACGCGCCTGTACTTCTGGCTACTTGGAAGGCTGAGGCGGAAGGATCACCAGAGTTCAGCAGGTCGAGGCTGCAGTGGCCGTGAGCGTGCCACTGCACTCCAGCCTGGGCGACAGAGTGAGACTTCAACTCAAAAAAAAAAATGTGCCTCAAATCAAACTCTCACAGACTCATATGTGTAGCAACACAAAAGCTCAAAACCTCACCCCATCACCACCACCACCATACAACTTGCACTGTACGTTACACTGCCCAGATTTAATTTCTTTGGGAAATTAATTTCTTTGGGAAAGTACATATATAATGTATGCAGAAGTATTATTATTAATCTAAGCACTTTTGTATTTAGTATACATTTATACGTTTTTAGAGAAACCACTTAAAAAAATATTTTAAGGATATTCTAGAATCTTGTTTCCTATGTAACTGGATTAGTCCACAGCAATTCTGATCTGCAAAGTTAACATCACTAATTTGGACTCTAAAATTAAACTAGAATCTAAAAAAGAAACATTACTTAGAGCCGAAGAAACGATCATGTATGTCATATTGACTATTGTGCCGTACCTGAGAAGAGTGGGAGTGTGAGCTCAGGGTACATCCTGGCCAGTTCACTTGACAGGAGGGCAAGTGACACACTGTAGAGTGGTGGCAGCGGGCCGTGTGTTCCATAGAGAATACTGCCCGGTCTTTGTTCTGCGACTTTCTTTGAATAGACAAAAAGCTTTGCTTCAAGAATCTAGAAAGAGGTAGGAAAGTAAAAAATACTCTGAAAACCATTAGCAGAATATCTCAGGAGCATTTGTAGGTAATAAAACACATTAATGCTTGTTTTAAATATAGTATTAAAAGTAAAACATCAGTTTAATTATTATGCTTACAAAAGAGTATATATTGTTTCCTCATTCTCCTTTGTTTTTTTTTGAGTTGGAGTCTCACTCTGTCGCCCAGGCTGGAGTGTAGTGGCTGCTCCTGGCCACCACAGCCTCGACTTGCTGGGCTCCGGCGATCCTTTCACCTTAGCTTTCCAAGTAGCTGGAACTACAGGCGTGCGCTACCACGCCCAACTATTTTTTTGATTTATTGTAGAGATGAGGTCTCACCAAGTTGCCCAGGCGGGTCTCGAACCCGCGGGCTCAGGCAATCCACTCACCTCAGCCTCCCAAAGGCATGGGATTACAGGCTGAGCCACTGAGCCCAGCTCTTTTTTTTTGAGTTGGAGTCTCTGTCGCCCAGACTGGAGTGCAGTGGCTGCTCCCGGCCACCACAGCCTCAACCTGCTGGACTCTGGCGATCCTTCCGCCTCAGCCTTCCGAGTAGCCGGAATTACAGGCATGCACTACCATGCCTGGTTGATTTTTTGATTTATTGTAGAGATGAGGTCTCGCTGCCCAGGCGGGTCTCGAACCCGCGGGCTCAGGCAATCCACTCACCTCAGCCTCCCAAATGCATGGGATTACAGGCTGAGCCACCGAGCTCGGCTCTTTTTTTTTTTTTTTGAGACGGAGTCTCACTCTGCTGCCCAGGCTGGAGTGCAGTGGCATGCTCACGGCCACCCCAGCGTTGACCTGCTGGGCTCTGGGGATCCTTCCGCCTCAGCCTTCCAAGTAGCTAGAACTACAGGTATGCACTTCCACACCTGCTAATTTTTTGACTTATTGTAGTGACAAGGTCTTGCCAAGTTGTCCAAGCTGGTCTCGAACCCATGGGCTCAGTCAATTCACTCTGGATGACAGGCTGAGCCACCAAGACTGGTTTTTCCTCACTCTTCTTATCCAGAAATGATATGCAGAAATAAAGGCCTACCAGTAAACAGCAATTCAGTGACCAACTACTATTTCTGTTTTCTGTGCTCAAGGATGGAAGGCTTCTAGGTCAGTAAAGAAAAAAATACCTGCATGAGCTGCATGGAGATTTCATAAATCTCTCTGTTGGTGTCAGAGGCCTTGAACAGAACGAGGTTTAACAACGTCACTATGTCGAAGGGATAGTTCCTAAAAAACAAATAAACAGCAAAGTTTACAAGCCAGCCTAGCTAGTACTCTTCACAGATCATTACCTCTTAAAATCCTAGATGGCACTTTGACTTCAGTCACTTATTAATGACATTCCCACCCCCACCTGGCCAATTTTTTGACCTCTTTCTTTTGCAATTTGGTGGTAAAGAAAAATTACCTTGTTTTTGTTTAAAATGGAGTATTGTGATTATCAGGACATAGGATCCCCAAAGTCTATCTGGTACAAATATATATATATTTGTATATATATATATATATATATATATATATATATATATATATATAGTTTTTTGAGTTGGAGTCTCACTTCGTCACCCAGGCTGGAGTGCAGTGGCATACTCATGGCCACCCCAGCATCAACCTGCTGGGCTCCGGCGATCCTTCTGCCTCAGCCTTCCAAATAGCCAGAACTACAAGCATGCACTACCGTGCCCAGCTAATTTTTTTATTTATTGTAGAGACAAGGTCTCACCAAGTTGCCCAGGCTGGTTTCGAACCCACAAGCACAGGCAAATCACCCTAGCCTCCCAAAGTGCAAGGATTACAGGCTGAGTCACTGAGCCTGGCCACAAATATATGTTATTTTTTTTTCTTTTTTTTTTGAGTTGGAGTCTCACTCTGTCACTCAGACTGAAGTGCAGTAGCTGCTCCCAGCCACCGCAACCTCGACCTGGTGGGCTCCAGCGATCCTTCTGCCTCAGCCTTCCAAGTAGCTGGAACTACAGGTGCACGCTACCACACCCGGCTAATTTTTGATTTATTGTAGAGATGAGGTCTCGCCAAGTTGCCCTGGCGGGTCTCGAACCCGCGGGCTCAGGCACACAAATATATTTTAATGAAAACCAAACATAAAGGAAAAGGACAGAAGAAGATATGTGTATGAAGTTTCTCAGTAGCTCATTGAATTGATATCTTCACTTGATGCCTCAAAGTTTATTAAGCACAAAACAATGATCAGGAACAATGTGCAGAGTACTGATGATACAAAGTCAGTAAAGTTGGTCTCCATCCTGAAGGAAGGCTGTAGAGATGAACTGCATGGTCTAGTTCTGATGATTGTTATGACGGGAGCACCCACAGCACGCTACAGGAATCCTGAAGGGACACTCCATCAGACATGGGGTTAGGGAAGGCTTGTCTGAGAAAGAAATAAGTAAAATGAGGCTTGAAGCACCAGGAGACATTAGTCAGCCATGGAAGGGGTGGTATGGGAGTGTTCCTGGCAGAGAGAACAGGATTTTGAAAGACTACAAGAATGAAACCGCAAGATACCTTCCGTAAAAAGAAAACAATCTCTGTGTCGCAGACTGAGTTCAAGAAATGAGTAGAGGAAGAGAAAGAGATGGGGCGAGAGCACTAGGTAGGTTAAAAAAATGAACAGCCTGTGAACTTTGAAAGTTTCAGAAAAACCACTACAGGCTTTGCAGTAGGGGAGGGAGGCAATGGCATTTGTTTTTAATGAATCACTCCAGGGTGGAGAACGGATTGTAGGGGGCCAAGAGTGAAAGCTGTTGCAGTAATCCAAATGGGAACTGATGAGGGCCTGAATTAGGGCAGGGACAGTAAAGACAGAAGGAGGGGACGTATCTGAAAAACACTAAGGAGATAAAGTCCACAGGATTTGGTAGCTGGCAACATGTGTGGGTGTGTGGGATGGGGAAGGAACACAGAGAATAGATTATGTGGCAACTGGCAGTATAACCAACTGGAATATAGAGATTAAATCTGCTGTTTTCCCCCTTGCGACGTAAGACTATTTAAAGGTGGTATGCATTTTTGTGGATTATAGTGGAAAACAAGTCATAAGCAGAAAACTCCTGGCAGATTGAACAACTACTGCATGGTGCACATATTGAAAGTGTGTGACTGACATTTATTTTCAGACAACCTTCAGAAAGCAGACAATAGCTTGAAGGTGAAAAAACAGATTAGGTGTTTCTCCTGGGGGTTCTTTTTTTATTCCATATCATTACATTGCCTAAGAAATTCTGTTCTAGACCAGTCACTGCCATGGTTTGAATGTCTGTCCCCTCCAAAACCCATGCTGAAATTTAATCCCCAGTGTACGTTATTGAGAGGTGGGACCTTTAAGAGGTGACGGGGTCATGAGAGTTTGCCCTCGTGAATGGATTCATCCACTCATGGATTAATGGATATTGCGACAGTGGGACTGATAGCTTTATAAGAGGATGAAGCGTGATCTGAGCTAGCACGCTCTTCTCTCTTGCCATGTGATGCCCTGTGCCACCTACGGACCCTGCAGAGAGTCCCCGCCGGCAGGAAGGCCCTCACCAGATGCAGGCCCTTGTCCTTGGACTTGTAAGAAGTGAATTTCTTTCCTTTATACATTACTCAGTTTCAGGTATTCAGTTATAAGTGACAGAAAATGGACTAAACAATCACCCATCAAGAAAGGCATGTCCTGCTAGGATGACATCCCATTTCATAGTAAGTTTTGTGAGAAAGTATAATGAGAATTGGTTAAAGGCATGAAAAATGTTTTACTTTTTAATATTACTCAAATATTAACTTTTAATGATACTGGTCACGCATGAGTATATTTTTCTTCTAAAAGGTTCAAGCAACACATAGGGGTGGAAGCGCCACTCTGAAGACAGATCACTCATAAGACTGGCAAGTCGGTGCTGGTTGTGGGTAGGTGCATAGGATACAATGTAGAAGTACTCCATCTCTTTTCTCTTTACCAGTTTTTATTCTTGCCCTAGAGGCAACCACTGTCAACATTTGGTACACATTCCAGTCCCTTTCTAAATGTACATACAAATATGTGCATCTAAATACCCCTCCCCCAATGCACAGGATTTTAATCATCAATAGGATTATGTCACCTGTGTGCACTGTTGGATGACTTGCTTTTTCACTGTACTGTGAGGCTCACTTCAGTCTTCTTAATAGCTGCCAAGTATTCCATAGTAGGCACATATTATAAATGACTGCTCTTGTAGTAGATGCTGTGGTATTTCACTTAGGTCCTTTTTTCAGGTCCGAGGCTCTCCATCTTGCTACTGAAGTGTTGGCAGCTGATACCCCTGAGCTGACACCTTCTCTGAGAATTGCCTTCAACCAAAGAGATTTTGCTAGGCCAAGGTCATGTCCTCTTACCAGCAGCTGCCACTGTGGGACTGACTGAGATTTTCTTATCTCTTCCCAGTCCCACTTTCTTCATTTTCCCATACATGTTCTGTCTAATACATTTTCTGCACTCAAATCATCTCAGCGTCTGTCTCCTGGGGACTCCAACCTTTTACATGCACAGATAGGCACTTAGGCTATTTCCAGTTTTCCCCCCTTCAGTGCCACGAACACCCAATGTGTAAGTATTTCTTTAGAAGATTCCTAGAGAGGTCATGCAGGGTCAAAGGGCATCTTTAAAATTTTGGTAGATATTGTTATAATGCCCTCCAAAATAACTTTGCCAATTTGTGCCCCAAGATGATTACTTCTCGAGAATTTGTATTTTTATTTTTATTCATTTATTTATTTTTTTCAAGTAGGATTTATTGAGAGGACAGAAAAGCTCCCACAGCGGGAGGGAACCTGAAGAGGTTGCCCAGAACTTGCATTTTTTAAATGAACACAGCATAAGTTTGGTATATCTGATGAGAAATTGGGGAACTCTGCTCAGGTGATGATGATGAGGAGGAAGAGGCCAAGAGTGACAATGAACAACAGTGACATTTTTGTTATGATGTGCTTATTTGTGCCAGGTACTGTGGGAAGACCTTTACCTAGATTTGTTATTTAATCTTCACAACAAGCCTGTGAGGTCCAGAGAGGTTAAGTACGTGCCTGAGGTCATGCAGACGTGGTGTAGCCCAGACACCTAGATAAGTCTGACTTCAGAGAATTCAAGCTCTTTTCCAAAGTTCTCTCAACCTTCCAGACAGCCTACAATATACATTTCACAGCCAGTGTGATTTGGAATTTTTACAAACTGCAGTATGTGGTAACAGACCTTTCTGATTGCAGAAGTAGGATAGAAACTCCCCCTGCTTTTTTTTTTTTTTGAGAAAGCAGGATTTATTGAGAGGACAGAAGAGCTCCCACAGTGGGAGGGGACCCAAGGGGGTTGCCCAGAAACTCCCTTTTGTGCTTTGTAGTAGCAGAGATTTCTTATCTACATTCTCTGTTTTCTGGCACTGGCATTTAATACATGTATGTTTATATATACAAAAGAGCACTGAAAAATATTGCTGGATCCTTGAGGATTTAAAGGCGGACAAGAGATAGATAAGACCTTCCTCTTAGGCAGGCAGGGTCATGCACTTGACCTTGTAATGAGGGCAGTCACTTGGTTACTTAAGACTGAGCTACAGAATTCACAAGGAACAACCCTGAAAGGAATACCAGATCTAGAAAATGAAAAGGAACACAGAGAAGGAAAAAATGAGAAAAATATCAAAGAAGGAACACAAATAAACTATCTGTACTAGATGTTTAAAACACACTTAGAATTGGAACCTTATATCTTTCAGTATTTAATTATTCACTGCAGGCAGAAGAATGGTGAAAGACAAATGAAGACAGTGGTGATCATACAGAATAAAAATTTTAAAAAATGAAAGGTGGATATGACTCAAGAATAGTCAAGAATAAAAATAGCTAGAAGAGAGGAGATTTTGAAGAATTTGGGAAATGGCCACAGCTCTGAGTTCCCTAAAACTAAGTGAGAAAGCTTAGGACAGCTTTGAGATATTCTGAAGAGAAACAGGTTTTACTAGTTAATTGAGGGGACTACTCTCCAGCTTTTTCCCACCAACAACTAGTGAATAATAATGGTGTTTATAGAGTGCTTATTATGTCCTAGGACTGAGATCAAGAGATAAGTTTGGTTTTATTTAACTCATACCCTAACCCTGTTATAACCCTCACTTTACAAGTGAGTAAGCATTTGTAGTAGTTCGCTCAAGAGTACACAGCTTGTTTTGAGGCTGAGGGAGGACTTGAACCCAAGATAGTAGGTTTCCAGAGCCTAAATTTTCAAACTCTGCTTTTCTGAAATACTCCAGCTGACCAATAACCAAATAACATTATTTTCACCAGGTAGGGGGTGTGATTAGGACTCATGTGTTGCAAACATCACTTATTTTCTTTGTTGATAGATGTTATTCCCTTAAGAAACGGGCATTTTCTTTCAAAAACTCAAATTTTCTACACCTGATTTAAATTAGGAAGGATTTATAAAAAGATAACTCAAGGTAAAACAAATACACAAACAATGCCAACAAAAACCAACATGGAAAATAAACCCAACAAAACTCTTGAAAAATCAACACTTCGGAAAGTGAGGGCCAATTAGAAGCCCAAACTTCACCTCCATGCAGTCTACTTATGTATTTCATCCTCACTTGTACTCCACAACTCTACGATAAAAATAATAAATTAAAAAAAATAAAAATCAACACTTTGATCTTATATCTAATTATAAAACATCTATTAAGCATATTTTAAGAGTATATTGGAGGGCAAAAAGAAGAATAATGGAGCTCTTAAGTATTTAATTAAATCTGAACCGAATTCTGGTAAGTTAAGCTAGTGATTGACTGGAAATGGCCTATACTCTTAATATGCTATTTACCGTGATTTATAACCTTGGGAATTGATTTAGTTTCTTTCTCAATTTCCTTATCTGTTCTATATAATCTCATTTGGGGTTGAGGGGAAAATTAATACGAGCACACACAGAAGCCAAATAGTTATTTGAACTAAAGCTGCCAGACAGGTAAGCAATTTTCTTTTGTGTGAAATTATAGTAGTGAGCTGCATTTAATAGCTTTTAATCAAATATATTAACATATTTTGTGAAAAAATTAATACTTCTGTTCTAGTATCACCTTCTACTTTTAACCTCACTTCTCTAGGTCTTATTCAACTTCCATTTTGACTTTCTATCTCCCAATAACAACCACAGTCATAGCATAGCAATATAGTTTTGACTGGAGATCAGTAAGTTCATAGAACACACACTGTGAAAAAAACACACGTTTTTCTTTTTGATTTCTTTCACAGAAATCAAACAGAAATCAAAAAGAAAAATGTGGAGAACTATTTTTTCCCATTATTACAGTTAATATACACTGATGTACTAAGTGTGCAAAAGGGCAAATTCTCTCTTCTAAAACTAAAAGCAGAAAATTTAAATGGATAAGAGCATTTTTCTTTTTTTTAGTCGGAGTCTCACTCTTGTCACCCAGGTTGGAGTGCAGGGGCACACTCACGGCCACCGCAGTCTGCACCTGCTGGACTTAGGCGATCCTTCTGTCTAAGCTTCCAAGTAGCTGGAACTACAGACACACGACACCACGTCTGGCTAGTTTTTGTTAACTTATTGCAGAGACGAGGTCTCACCAAGTTGCCCAGGCTGGTCTTGAACCAGCAGCTTCAGGCAGTCCTCTTGCCTTGACCTCCCAAAGTGCTGGGATTACAGGCTGAGCCACCACGCTCAGCCTGACAAGAGCATTTTTAAAAAGTCAATCTCTTAGGTATTTTAAAGTCAATTATAAGTGATTCCTTAGTAAATAAATCTGCTTATAACTGTCATATTCTTCTTAAAATAAGTCCAACATATAGTTATTCCTATTTAAAAAGGAAGAGGTAATTATTTATTTCACAAGAAGAACTGTTTCCTTTAGAAAATGACTTTAGGAGTTACTGCATAGATTACTTGTTAGAGAAATTCAAGATACAATTCAGTTTGCATATGACTTTTCAGAAAGATATTCCATAAGATAAGGTATTTAGTTGGGTTTTAGAAGCGAACTGACAGAAGACAAATAAAGCAAAAGCTGAAAACACCAGAATTGTTTTTGAAAAAAAGTACTGCAGACATAGCACAAAGACTGCTCAAGTCTATCTGGAAGCCTGTCTAAACTACACAGACTGAGAATTTATGGGGGAAAGAGTGAATTTCGGCCACAGCTGAAACTTTAAATTCTGAACATGCCCTGTGGTGAGAAATACAGAAGCGCTGGCCACTCTCTGGGCAGTTGGGTCCCAGCCATAGTATTCCTCAGCCCTCAATCCTTCCTTCAGAATAGATGAGTGTCACGCCTATAAGCAGATATGCAGGATTTATCTAATAAACTAAAATAGCATAGGACGATACCTTAAAATAATGACTAGGAGCATAGAGGGCTTTATGATCTAATATTTTTTGTGACTAGAGATATTATTGAAATTGAGACTGTACCATTAAATTCACAAAACATTTATTTGTGCCCCCTAAGGAAAAATACCTAGATTTATTCAGAGAAATGCTGTGTGATGTTTTATGAGATGGCCATGCAATGAAATACATTTAACTAGGATAGTTCAAGTCAAGTTCACTGGGAGAATGGCAGTGAAGAGATGAAACTTTTATTACTCTTGTGTTGAAGATAGAGGTCTAAGTCATAGATTCTAAATATATTTTTTAAAATCAAAGGGTCATATGAACAGAACTATTTTTAGAATGTTGAAATATCTGAAAACAAAAGAAAGCACTCTGGAGATTTTTGTAACAATGTTTTTTTGGTAATGTCCTTTAGGTATATTATTTAGTAATGCTTATCTAGTGTCAAGAAATAAAACTTAATGGAAGTTCAGTCAGTTTAGGTTATATTCATCAACTATAACTTTTATGGAGATTAGCATGTATAATAAAAATTCTACTACTAATGTGATATAAAATGAAAACTTTGGACATAAAATGTTATCTACAATCTTTATAAAAGAAAGATACAATTTTTAAAGAGAAATTTGTCTATCTAAATAGTATGCTCATTGTAGGTTTATTGAAAGTAGGTGTCTTCTAAAATACGTTCTTATTAATTTAGAGCCATAATAGGTTGGAATTTAAAACTAGTTTTCTTTTATTCCTATCATCTGATAACTCAAGATAGCTATTTAAAATGCAACATCTACGAGCAGCCAACAGATACATGAAAAAATGCTCAGCCTCACTAGTCATCAAAGAAATGCAAATTAAAACTACATTGAGATACCACCTAACTCCAGTCAGGATGGTCATCATCAATAACTCAAAAAACAACACATGCTGGAGAGGATGCAGAGAAAAGGGAGCACTTCTACACTGTTGGTGGGAGTGTAAACTAGTACAGCCCTTGTGAAAAACAGTGTGGCAATTCCTAAAACATCTAAAAATCTAAAAAGAGGACTGGATTTTTAAAAAATGTGGCACATATACATGATGGAATATTACGCAACCAAAAAGAAGAACAAAATCATGAACTTCACAGCAACCTGGATGAACTTAGAGTCTATAATACTGAGTGATGTTTCACAGAAACAAAGAACTGAGTATCACATGTTCTCACTCATAAGCGAACCTTGAACAATTATCATAAAACTATAAGAAAAGGATGGGCAGTGGTGGTAAACTGCTGGGGGGGGGGCAGGGAGGCGGACTTGACAGTAGTGGGAATCTGCCTGGGGGGGCATACCTCATCAACAAGGTTACCTGCATAATGAACATTTGTATAGCTAACCCTGAATTGTACCACACATCTTTAAAATTTTTTTTAAAAAGCTAAAAAACAATAAAATAAAATGCAACATTTAATTAAAAAGGAAAATTAACAGTCTATATGAATCTTTTAAAAAATAAACTTAAGTTTCACTCTGTCAATTTTCCTGATATATAAACTCATTCTTGAGAATAGCTTATGCAGTTTGGAGAATCTTGATTAACTCTTTAATCTTAGCTATAGAATTATTTCACTCAATAAATCATAGCGCTGAATGGCTTCACTGAATGATTTATTTAACAAGGAAAGTGGTTTTAAAAGTGTTAGCTACAAAATATAGAGTGCCACATTTTCTTTTTTTTCTTTCTGAAGATTTGAACAAAGCAGATTTAAAAATTTTAGGCTACTACCTGGCTTTGACTTGTTCTAAAGATGGCTGAAGGATTTATAGTTCATCCTTGTTACAAACATCTTTAGACATTCCTTGAATGTATCTTTTTTGTCATTTTCAAATCCTGTCTAAATACTTCACTATGAATTTCCAGGCAATTAAAAAGAAGGATGCTATAACAATAAACCACTTTCCTGGTAAAACAAGAAAAGCTAAGGTAAATGCAAACTTACAGGGAGTAAATTTATCTGCTGGGGACAGACAGGCCATTTTGTATTCTCATAGAACCTACTTTGCTCATATAATTGCAAGACAGTCAGTTATCGATCATCCATATCACGAAAAACAACACTAATCATACTTGCCACCAATCACTGTTTGCAAAAACTCATACCTGCTTCCACACACGGTTGCTATGGCTTTGAAGCAGCCGGATGCAAGTTGGTAGGAACCTGTGTAGCATCGGTCAATTGCCCAATTAAAAAGATTTATTTGGTCAGGATTAAGTTCCAATAGCAAAACAACAACTTCGCAGCCAAGTTGATGAACCTGAATACATAGAGCAAATCAATATTATTCATTTTTAATGAAAGAATGTTCTAGAGAAAGACACAAGATCAAGTTTCACCAATATAAATTGGGTAAAGTGAAAGCAGAGACCGAATATTCATTTTGATTAATTTTTATGTCTTGTGTTCTCTTGTTTTTTTTTGAGTTGGAGTCTCACTCTGTGGCCCAGGCTGGAGTTCAGTAGCATGCTCACGGCCACTGCAGCCTCGACCTGCTGGGCTCAGGTGATCCTTCTATCTCAGCCTTCCAAATAGCCGGAATTACAGACATGTGCTACCACGCCTGGCTCATTTTTGATTTATTGTAGAGATGTGGTATCACCAAGTTGCCTGGGCTGGTCTCGAACCCACAGACTCAGGCAATCTACTCGCCTCAGCCTCCCAAAGTGCTGGAATGACAGGCTGAGTCACTGAGCCCGGCCTACACCCTCTTACAAAAGAACCAGTGGCCGGGCTCGATGGCTCAGGCTGTAATCCCAGTACTTTGGGAGACCGAGGAGAGTGGATTGCATGAGCTCATGGGTTCGAGACCAGCCCAGGCAACTTGGCGAGACCTCGCCTCCACAAAACCAAAAAAAAAAAAAAATTAGCCAGGTGTGGTAGCGCACTCTGTAGTTCTGGCTACTTGGAAGGCTGACGTGGAAGGATCACCTGAGCGCAGCAGGTCGAGCGCAGGGGTGGCCATGAGCATGCCACTGCACTCCAGCCTTGGGAACGGAGTGAGACTCCAACTTGGAAAAAAAAGAGAGAGAGAGAGAGAGAGAGTGTAATGTTGCAACTGAAAACTAAAATGTACACATTAATTTTGACTCTGTGTAAATCTGTTATATAGGGGCTACTCCATCTCAATTTATAACTCTGAAAAAGGGATGAAAACTTTACAGATGGTGTTTCTTTTTTGCATTTAAAATATTTCTGAAAAATACATACATTTGGTTTTTTAAAAATCCAATATATAAAAGGTTATCCTCTATATATGCAAAGTCTTTTAAGGGGGGAAAGTCAGCCAGAATATGATTATGAGACTTGACTGTAAAATCCACTGTCTGGTGAAGCTTAGCTGTTGATCTTTCAAAAAGAAATACAGTTTCCATAGACTCATCTTAATTAAAGGTTTTTATATGAAAACACATTATAGTAGATGGAATTAGTAGGATGCTAAATTGATTTCTGAAGCTACTGTCAAACACTGATGTTCAGGAGAAGCCTGGTGCTTAGTGGCTACACTCCACTCAAAAAGTTACATTTCCTGTCTTCTCTGGAAGAAGTTGTCCACTCTTCTTGCCAGTTGAAACCAGGTGGAGAAGGAAAGACTCTGCCTTGTTTTGTTGTTGTTGTTGTTTTACGTATAGGGTTTGAGCCTAGACGGGTGTGATATTCTAGTTGGATGGTCAACTATCTTTAACCTGGTTTCCCAACCAGCATATGTAATTAGCAGCAGATAAAAGCTAATAATAATAGAGCAAAGGACTTAAACATAGCATTTTGTTAAAAAGGTTCAACTTGGCCGGATGCGTGATTCATGCCTATAATCCCTGCACTTTGGGAGGTGGAGATGAGAGGATGGCTTGTGCTCAGGAGTTTGAAACCAGCCTGGGCAACATGATGAGGCCTCATCTCTACAATTAAATGTAAAAAATTAGCCAGGTGTGGTGGTGTGCACCTGTAGTCCCAGCTCTTCAGGAGGATGAGGAAGAAGGATTGCCTGTGTAAGCAGGTTGAGGCTGCAGTGATCATGCCACTACACTCCAGCCTGGGTAACACAGTGAGAGTCTGACTCAAAAAAAAAAATTCAACTTAAAAATCAGCATGTAGCTGGGCTCGGTGGCTCAGCCTGTAATCCCACGCCTTTGGGAGGCTGAGGTGAGTGGACTGCCTGAGCCTGCAGTTTCGAGACCCGACTGGGCAGCGAGACCTCATCTCTACAATAAATCAAAAAATCAGCCAGGCATGGTAGTACATGCCTGTAATTCCGGCTACTTGGAAGGCTGGGGCAGAAGGATCACCGGAGCCCAGCAGGTCGAGGCTGCGGTGGCCGGGAGTGGCCACTGCACTCCAGTCTGGGTGACAGAATGAGACTCCAACTCAAAAAAAAAAAAAAAAAAAAAATTCAGCATGTTTTCATTGCGCTTCAGAAACTTTATATTGAGGTATAAAATAAGCAGAGACATTATATAATTTGTAAGTCTATGGTGAATTATTTTAACTAAACACACTCATGTGACCACCACCATAAAAAGCCAGAATATTACCAGCACCACTGAAGCTTCCCCTGGGCACTCTCTTAATCGCTAGTCTCTCTCTCCTCCCCAGAAGCAACCACTGTCTTCTTCCACCATTGGTTAATATGGGCTGTTTTTGCACTCTTTGTAAATGCAGTTATAGGGTATATAATTTTGTGTCTCATGTTGCTTTAATTTGCATTTCCCGGATGCTATAGACTGAATGTTTGTATCACATCCCATTTATATGTTAAATCTTAACCAATGTGATGGTATTTGGAAGTGGGGGGCCTTTGGGAAGTGATTAAGGGCATGATGGGCATTAGTGGCCTTATAAAAGGGACCCCAGAGAGCTGCCTCACTCATTCTGCTATGTGAGGATACAGCAAAACTGCCGTCTGTGAACTAGGAAGCCGGTGCTCACCAGACACAGATCTTCCAGTCCCTTAATCTTGGACTTCCCAGTCTTTAAAACTGTGAGAACTACATTTCCATTATTGATAAGTCACTCAGGTATTTTGTTATAGCAGCCTGAAATAAACTAAGACACTTGATTACTAATGAGCTTGAGAATTTTTTTTAATGTTTCTTGCCATTTACATAACTTTATATGAATACTTAAGTTTCCTTTTTCTACTGAGTCTGAATTCATCTTATTTATGTGTAGGGGTTCCTTACATATTCTAGAAAAGAAACTTCTGTTGATTGTATGTTACAAATACTGTATCTCTCACTCTATGGCTAGCCCACTCAAGCTCTTAATGGTGTCTTTTGGCAAATAAAAGCTATTAATTAATTCTTCCTTAAGGCGAGCAATATTTGCATCCTGCTTAAAAAATCTTGCTCTAACCCCAGTGATGAAGATAGTCTTCTACATTATTTTCTAGGAACTGTATTATTTTATCTGTTACATTTAGATCTACAATCCAACTGCAGTACATTTTTGAATATAGTGTGAAGAAGGGGTCACATTTCTTTTTCTGTCTCTTTTTAAATATGGCGATCCAGTGGCCCCAAATTACTTGTTGAAAAAAACATTTTTTCCTCCATAGCTCTGCAGTGCCACCTTTAAATATATCAAATGTAGCCGGGCTCAGTGGCTCAGCCTGTAATCTTGCGCTTTGGGAGGCTGAGGTGAGTGGATTGCCTGAGCCCGTGGGTTCGAGACCCGCCTGGGCAACTTGGCGAGACCTCATCTCTACAATAAATCAAAAAAAAAAAAAAATTAGCTGGGCGTTGTAGCGTGCATCTGTAGTTCCAGCTACTTGGAAGGCTGAGGCAGAAGGATCACCGGAGCCCAGCAGGTTGAGGCTGCGGTGGCCAGGAACGGCCACTGCACTCCAGTCTGGGCGACAGAGTGAAAGTCCAACTCAAAAAAAAAAAAAAAAAAAAAATATATATATATATATATATATATATATATATCAAGTGTCTATACATATATATACATAGGCCACTTTGGGCCTCTCTATTGTACTCAATTGTAATAGTTATCTATCTTTGGGCCGATATTACAATATTTTAATGACCATAATTTATAATAAGTATTGATTTTTGCTAAAGTAAGTCCTCTCACTTTGTTTATGTTGTTCAAAATTATCTAAGCTATTCTCGGTCCTTTGCATTTCCATGTATATTTTTTAAAAGAAACTTGTCAGTTGTCACAAATATCCTGCCAGGATTTTGACTAAGATTGCACTGTCTCTACAAATCACTTTGGAAAACTGACATCTTTACAATACTGAATCTTCCAATGCATGAGCATGGTATATTCTTCCATTTATTAGCTTTTCTTTCATTTTTCTCACTAATGCTTTATATAGTTCAGTGTAAGAAGTCTTGCACATTTTTATAAGGTTTATTCCTAAGCATTTAATGTTAATTCCTAATTTAAAAATTTCTTTTTCCAGTTGTTTATTGCTACTATATTAAAATAGTTGATTTTTTATTCTGAACATGTATCTAGCAACCTTGATAAAATCACTGATTAATTCCAACTGATTAATTCACTGATTAAGTTCAACAGATTTCTTTGAACTTCTTACTTATGTAATTGTGCCACTGGTAAATAACGAGTTTTATCTATCTATTTTTCATTACTTATATCTTTTCTTTCCTAATGCACTGGCTAGGATCTCCAGTAAAATACTGATAGAGATAGTGCAAGTGCGCTTCCTTGGTCATTCTAATCTCAGAGGGAGCACTTTCAAAATTAGCTATCAGATATGATGTGCACTGTAAGGTTTTTTGGGGTTTTTTTTTCAGACACCCTTTATCAAATTAAGATATTCTTTGCTATTCTTAGTTTTGCCAGAAGTTTTCCTCATGAATAAAAGTAGAATTTTATCAAATACTCTTTCTGCATCTGAGATGATCATGTGATAGTTCCTTTTTAAGATTCTATTAATATAGCTAATTTACTAATGGATGGACAATATTTGAATATTCAACCCATCTTGAAATGCTTGAATTAACCCAATCTGATCATGATGAATCATGTTTTCAATATATCACCGACTTCAATTTTCTGATATTTTGTTTAAAGTTTTTGTATCTATGCTAATGAATGGGATTGCCTATTAATTTTCTTTCTTGATATAACCTTTTCTAGTTTTATTATCAAGATTATGCTGGTCTCATAAATATATTAGGATGTACTTCCTCTTCATTTGTTTTCTCTCTAAGAATTTGTATTAACTCCATGCAATTTGTTCCTTAGATGTTTGGTAGAATTCATCAGTAAAGCCTTCTGGGCTTAAAGTTTTCTCACTTTAAGACTTTCAGTTTACTGATTTGATTTCTTTAGTACTTACATGTTTATTCAGATTTTCCTTTTCTTCTTTTGTTTTGTTTTTCTAGGAACGTGTCTATCTCATTCAAATTTTCTAGTTTGTTGCCATTAAGATGTTCATAGGTTCTCTTTAATTTTTAATGTTTATAGCATCTATAGTGATGTCCCTTCAGTTTACATTTCTGATGCTAGTTACATGTGCCTTCACTCTCACTCATTGTCTCTCTGTCTCTTTCTCTCTCTCTTGATTAGACTTACCATAAATTTATTAATTTTATTAATCCTTTCAAATTCAACTTTTGGCTTTAATGATCATTACTTTTAAATTTTAAAGAATTAATTTCTACTCTTATCTCTGTGATTTCTTTCATTGCTTTTATTGAGCTTGATATACTATTCTTTTTCTAACTTCTTATGATGGATGTTTAAGTCATTGATTATTCGTCTTTTTTTTTCGTTCTAATACATGCACATACACTTAAGGCTATTCATTGCATTCTAAGCAAGGCTTTACTTAAAACCCACAAATTTAGTATGTAGTATTTTTATTATTCTTCAGTTTCAAATATTTTCCAGTTTCCATTGGTTTTTATTATTTGACTCATTGGTTATCTGCAAGTGTATTTTTAAATACCATTTTCTTATTGAATGCTAGCTTGATGCTACAGTAATGTGAGAACATAGGCTGTATCATTTCAGTGATTTGGACTTTGTTGAGCCTTGCTTTATGACCCATTTATGGTCAACATTGGTAAATGTTATTATTTTGTTAATCCTGATGTATCATTGTGTAAAATGAACAACACATGAACTTATACTAATGTGGTTGACACGTCAAGAGATTGTGGTGTGAACAATGCTTATACATTTCAGTAACTCAACTGAGTCAGAAAAGCAGAATACCAAAGACATTTTAAAATAATGTGTTTTGTTTTGTACTTACCCGTAAATCTTGACAAGCCAGAATGTTGTCAAGCCACTTATATAGGTAGCCATCAGGAGAAAGGCCTACATTGTCAAACACAGGGCCACAGCACAATACTGCTGACATTGCCTGATGATAAAAACACAACAAAACATGGAATGAAGCCTGTTACAATCCAATGGTATACAACTGACTTTATAAAACATAACTGTGAGATTTATAAATAATGAGGTTCCTTTAAAAGCAGTTATTCCTCCAAGATATTAAAGAATACCTTAGTAGATTTAATTTAATAATTCAGGATTATTCCAAATTTGGCTTTTTTAATAAGAGTCAAACCCCATAAATGTAACTTTGCAGAGATGTAATTTTAGAATCATAACAGCTCTTTATGATCAAAGATTAGGTATTCAAAACAAAATATTTATAGTATTTAAAGTAAACTTTCCTTTAATGATTTTAAGTGAATTATGCTTATAAGATAAACAGCTTTTTAAATTGTGCTTTTAGGACAAATATTTGACCAATGTATTAAACTGACAAACTATGAAAATATGAAAATAAATAATTGTGATCCTTAATCAAAGGTAAAGAGAGTGAAAAATATAAACTTTAGTTCCTCTAAGGAGGGAGGCATGAAGAAATCAAGGGCAGGTAAGAGAAGGGGAGACCTTGATTACCTTTGGAATTAGCAGGTCCAACTGACCATCAGGGCTGTAGTTATTTCCTTTGAGGCAAAAGCCAACCGGCAAGTCAGCAACTTATGGTATACATGACAAAAGCTGACATACAGTTAATTTTCTTAAGGAAATTAGACTGTAAGGACACATGCTTCTGAAGATTTTGAACAGCCCTAGCAGTGTGGAAATTTCTTTTTGGCAATCTTCTAGGATAGAAAGAGACTAACTAGTGAATGTGGTTCTAAGTAGATTCTGAATTTGAGGAGGTATCTTTTTTGGGGTAGGGGAGGGGTTGAAAGTTCATGACAAGGCATCTACCTAAGAGGTAAAGGAGCAAAAATATATGGTTCTCACAAAGGAGAAACACTGAATAAAAGCAGGAGCTCAAAAAAGCTTTGTGTTTTAACATTGTGAGCTCAACTGAAATGTTTAAATATTTACACATATTCTGGAGTTTCAAGTCAATTTACGTATTTATATATACGTATGTGTCTGTCCATTTGATTTTTTGTATGTGAGCTTATATTTTATTATATCATATCATATCTCTTATCTTGACCTCATTTTTTAAAATTTTAAAGATGAGAGGTACAATTCAGAATTAGGTATACAAGTGGTCATCATACAGGTAAAGTTGGGCATCCCTTTGGTCCCCACTTTGCCTGGTTTGAGATCAAGTACACTTATTGATGTTGTGATCCCCTCCCCATCACCCCAGCAGTATCCCGCTACTGCCAATCCCTTTCTTATTGCATTTCGATAAATGTTCTGGGTCTGCTTATAAGTGAAAACATTTGGTACTCAGTTCTTTCTTAACCTTATTTTTCAGGCATAGTTGTGAGTCTAAGGAAAGAGACCACTGATCTGACATAAGTCATTCCATAAGGAGAACGTCACCTACCTTTAATGCACAATACTGGTATCTTGTAATCTGATGATTTCTATCACTGTATCGATCCAGAGGAGTAAACATTATGCTGAATGGTCCTGCCCACTGGCTGAATAAGATGAAGAGATGGTGCCTCAGGCTTTGCTGGGGGAAGAGAAATCTTCGATGGTGAACTGGGGAGAAAAATACAGTTAGCGGATATAAGACTGAGTAAAGTCTATACCACCATTCTGTATCATTCTTACGTTTTGAGGAAAGGAAAAATTTCATTTCCTAACTCCAGTTTTCTTTAGGCAATAAAACATGTATTTTAAAACTAAAGCCGGCCAGGCTCGGTGGCTCAGCCTGTCATCTCAGCACTTTGGGAGGCCGAGGCGAGTGGATTGTCTGAGCCCACAGGTTCAAGATCAGACTGGGCAACTTGGTGAGACCTCGTCTCTACAAAAAAAAAAAAAAATTAGCCAGGTATGGTAGCATGTGCCTGTTGTTCTGGCTACTTGGAAGGCTGAGGCAGAAGGATCACCAGAGTTGTGGCTTTTTGTAATGATACCAAAAACTTTTAATTGGCATAATTTTTACATCAAACTGACCAGCTGTTTTATTTTCTGTGCTTCTAGTAGAATGGAAATGTTCCATACTCATTTGCTCTGTGAAAGATAATTCTCTCCATGATGTAAAACTTAAGCAAGCATAAAATAGACTAAGCTATATGGAATTCCATTTAATGTATTGCTAAGGTAAAGTCAGCGAGTAAGAAAATTACTGAAATTACCTGTTCACACTTTAGCACAGAGACAACGTAAAAAAAACTGAAGCCATATGAATGTTCCTTCTGAATTACTTCCTTCCTATGGAAATCACATCAGCTCATTTTCAGATGGGAACCAAAACAAATGACAGAAATGACACGCACAAACCAGATTTAATTCTTATTGTTCCCTTTACAGCTCTGTGCTATTAATGACAAACTGTTCTCACGTACATTTCCAAGAATCTCAAAATAAATAAATGATCACATCCCAGACCTGACAGGTCAGTAGGACTGAAGCGAAAGAAACATAATAATAAGGAACACAAATGGTTTTCTAAGTGTGAAAGGTGATTTGTCGTGATGGATCACTATACCTGGAACACACTGAATCAAGTTGGCGACCATTGCACTAAAATGTGCCCGGATATCTTTAAGAATTTCAACCTCTTTGTCGTTTTCAGCTTCCAGGAGCATGCGAGTCAGGTCCACATATTCTAAGAACAAAGCTCCCAGGGCTAATGTATCCCGTTCTAAGGCTCCATTTGTGCTGGAATAAAGGAAAATTAAACTTATCTTTACATCAAAGTAGTATATGCTTCATGAAAGATAAAATTTGCTGTCAGAACTCACACACTGACTTTGTTCCTAACGTATATTAATATTTTTTAAAAAGAAAGTATAAGGAAAATATTTTTAAAAAGGAAAAGAAAAAGCAAACTTATTTGTGACTTTTCTAAGTGAAAGGTATTCCATTTAAAATATAGACAGAGAGAAAGAGAGACAGAGAGACCAGTTGGACGAGGAGAAACCAGCTCAGCAGAATTTTAACCCTACCTGTCACTTATTACACCAGCATCGGCCAGAAGTTCAAAAATGCGAAGCAGTTGTAACCTTAACAAGTCTCGCCTTTCTCGGCGTTTCTTGTTCTGTGTACAAAGAGGTAACACCACTTATAGACACGGGCAAAACAGTATTAGCTCTGCTTTAGAAAATTGCATTAATCTAATCATTTTCAAAGCGCTAGGCATAAAAGACAAAATGTATTTTTCTTTCTTCCTAATCCTTAGAGAAAATGCTTGCTATTACTGGCTGTAAGAGGAACAGATCATAAAGTGGGTCAATAAATATTTATTAGGTGGAAATGTTGAGAATGAACAAGTCTGATTTCCCAGATGGGTTCCCAGTGTCTGCTGAAAGGCTGAAGCAGTTAAAACAAGTGAAAGGGGACAGGGGACATGGATAATCCTATCAGTTCTGGTCATGGAGTTCACAACTGTTAAATTTCTGCTACTTCTTGAATACATAACTACAATATAAGAACCTTTTTTTTTTTTTTAACGCTGTTGCCCTGGCTGGAGTGCAGATTGTAGGTCTCAGGCAATCCTCTCACCTCAGCCACCTGAGTAGCTGGGACTACTAGGCTAATTTAATTTAAAAATTTTTTTTTGTAGAGACAGGGTTTTGCTATGTCGCCCAGGCTGGTCACAAAGTCTTGGTCTCAGGCAATCTTCCCACCTCACCCTCCCAAAGCTCTGGTATACAGGCATGAGCCACTGTGCCTAGTTGGGAAGTTTTTTTTTTCAAAAGTCATTTTATCCTGGTACATTATAAGTTATCTTTTTAAGAATTCACTTCAGGAAAAGGAATGCGAGGAAATGCTTCATATGCCAGATGAGACAAATTATATTCTTGGCTATCCAACTCCTTGTAAAAAACAAGCAAACAAACTAAAAACCGACGTTCAATTTTAACTCAAATCTCCTACAGAAGAGTGTAGTAGCATACACATGACTTGACATTTATACACTTAGGACAGAAAATCCACAGAATATTATACTAAATACTTGAATACTGAAAAATAAAAACAACAGAAGTCAAAATATTAAGATTCATTGTGAAAAACTTGGGTGTTTGTATTCTCGGGGGAAGGCCACTGTGTCTTATTTGAAATCACACCATTATCCAAATAAACCAAGCCTTCATTATTTAAATTCAAAATCTTACCTCTGGCCTTCGTTCCAGAGCTTCTTTCATTAATGGATGAAGTTCTTCCACCAATTCTCTATGAAGGAAAAGGGTAAGCATTTGAAATTCATTGTTTTTGACACCAAACTTGTCATTAAATACTGTATATCCAATTCAATCCTAAATCACTTGGTTTTTTTTTCACTTTGCTTGTAAGATCAAAATCTCCCTGACTTCTCCATTTCCTAATGTTGTGGTGAACTGGAAATAGGTACTGGCCTATGCTTTGTATTATTGGTCTAATTGCCAGAGCTATATATATAATTTTGACTCAATACATATTTGTTGCTTTGATTTTGATTTAATGTTCTGGAGATTACTATGGCAAAAACAAAAACAAAAAACAAACTAGGTAAACAATTAACCATGCACTATTTTCTAAGTGTTCACTAAATTCAAAGCAGTTTGCTACAAGCTATGGAACCGAAGAGAAATAAAACTGAGCCTCTGTACACAAGAAATTTTCAGTCTAATTAGAGGAAGAGAGACAGGTGCAATTACCATGATACTACCTTTGCGATCTGTGCTCAAAAGACTTATAATTGACTTTAAAAATTGTCTTTCTTTGGATTTCAGAGCTACATTCTTTTATTTGACCTACATGATACATACAAATTATGGAAAGTAATGAAACAGTATGGTTCTCATTGAAACTTTTTCTCTTTTATAGCAAAAATATGTCTTAATCATATTAATATATGTCTCTGTCTCCATTATCTCTGGTTCTCAGGTTTAAACTTGCTAATCTAATTAGTTGCCTTCTTCAAGAAATAATTCCTGAATTGCTGTGTCAAAACAGAAAAAATTATAATATCTAGCCTGTTGTATGATATCTGGCCTAGTAACTAGGTATTTTGTTTATAGTATGATCCTGTTTGAAAACCTTATACTTTCTGGCAGGATATTTTGTGCTATTAGACATTACCCTCCAGGAAAATCCAAGGACAGGAAGGTAAACTCCAGGACATTCTACACTAGAGACAGAAAATCTAGGCCCTACTTCTCTTTTTTTTTTTTTGAGTTGGAGTCTCACTCCGTCGCCCAGGCTGGAGTGTAGCAGCATGCTCACGGCCACCCCAGTATCGACCTGCTAGGCTCCGGTGATTCTTCCACCTCAGCCTTCCAAGTAGCTGGAACTACAGGTGTGCGATACCATGCCTAGCTAATTTTTTATTTATTGTAGAGGTGAGGTCTTGCCAAGTTGCCCAGGTTGGTCTCGAACCTGTGGGCTCCGGCAATCCACTCGCCTCGGACTCCCAAAGTGCTGGGATGACAGGCTGAGCCACCGAGCCTGGCCTGGGCCCTACTTCTGATTTCTCCAATGCAGATGCTAGAATTTCTTCATCAAGGAAATGGGGATATCATTAATAGTTTTATCCACTTAACTATGGGCATATTCACATTTAATTTATCTATGGATTTATCTTCTCGATAAGTCTATGGATTCTATAATGATGCCAATTTTTTAATATTAGATAGATACATTTTCTTTATTTTTATATGTCATGCCAATTTGACAGTTGAGGAAACTAAGGCCCAGAGACATTAAGTCTTCCAGACTCAAGCTGCTAGTTGGTTGCATAATCTTACCTGTCTCTGAGAATATTAAGAGGGTAAGACATGCAAAAGAGACTTAGTTCCTTTGGCAAAGAATGGTAGGTAATTTCAGGGATTGTTACTGTTATCTCCTTGTACTTCAATAAGATGCTTTGTCTTAACTAATTAACCAATAACTGGCAAAACCTTGGTAAACTGGCACCTGTGTAGTCGGAACCCACAGTGACTTTTAAGGATAAAATCTGCCTCTACACATGAACAACTTGCATCTTTTTTACTTGCCTCTAAAATATCTCATTAATCTTTATTTTTTCAAATAGAGTTTCTCACAGATGCTTGCTGCGTTCCCCCTTCAATCAACGTGGAAAATTTTTTTGGAGATTTCATTTGTCTTTAGGCTTTTGTTGCTTAGCTAAAGTCATCAGACAGCCCAAAAGAACATTTTACGATGCTTCTTTGAAAAGGCTCAGACACTGCCTTGGATGGGATGGTTAGTTGATTGCAGATGTGAATAAGAAATCTAGAATGCAGGTATGCTACTTCTATTAAGGCAGAGAAAGTGCAGTGTAGAAAGATCAACCCATGCAACTGACCACCCTAGAAAGGGCTTTATCAATGCTGAAATTTTGAGAATGTTGGGTATATAGCTGATGATGTGATGGCCTTTGAAGAGTCTGGCTAACCAGGGACTGACATTTACAGTTATCTGAAACAAAGTCTGACAATGAAAAAAAATCTGAGAGGTAAAATCAAAGTTGCAGTGAAATGTGAGATGGTTGCAAGGAACATGTGTTACATGCACATCAACTACAGAGGACGGAAAGGGAATCACATGAAGCCTGTCAACTCTTTAGGCACACACCAACAGGCAGACTCAAACTTGAGTTAAAAAAAGAAACGACCACAGCAGCACACATGCATTTCAATCTAATTAGGACTACTGTACCTGAAAACAAGGGAATTTGTTCTTCCAAATCCTAAAACTAAGGACTCTGTGATCTCAATGCTCTCTAGTCTCATCAAAGGCACCAACTGCTTTAACAGAACTCCCACCGACGGGGTGCCTATGGCCTGAAACAAGTTGATCAGAAGTGAAAAAGAGGTAACATGGCAACGGATGGTTCCTTTAAGCAAGCGGTGATCCCATTATAACAGTTTCAAAGTACTGAAACACATCCCAAGGCACTGCCATCATTTAAGTAAAACACACACACACACACAAACACACACACACACACACACAAATTTAATACTGCAAAATGAATGCATTTCTCACCTGGCTCACAAATTCTAAAAACGATTTTTTTTATGATAGTACTCTTCTTTCTAAACCATTTACGTCTAAAAAACCATCTTTAACAAACAAATTGAGTCAAGGCATGGGTTTACAGGTGAATACTTGGTGAGGCGAGAGAGAAATGTGGTGTGTAGAGCAGGAACCAGACCTCAGGTCACAAATAAATACAAGGCACTCTATGGTCTTAAGTGAGTTTCTCAACTTCTTTTTCTCATCGGTTCCTCACTTGTCAGGGAGGAGTAATACATTATTCACATAAACACTCAATGGAATTTAGAAATGTGTGGATGAAAATCTGATCCCATAATACTCCAGATGGCAGGCACAGTACAGTTTGCACTGTGAACTCTAGACAAACAAGCTAAAAAAAAACCTTACAGAATAATTCTTCTGAAGCATGTCATGTCACCTTGTTATCGTAGCTCACTGTACCATCAGGTGTGGTTGCCATTATTTCGGGAGTGGAAGCTCTTAAGTGTCCTGGGCTCATAATACTGGGTTTTGCAACTCCAAAACAAAGAATAAGGTAGTTTCTCCACAAGGTAACATAGTTGTCTCCGCTGCCGGCAGTGCTGGTTTTCTTGGCATTAATTGGGCTACTAGAAATATGGAGTCAAAAATAAGAGTAAGACTTAGTTCCAGACTTTAAATATCACTTATTGTTATAATTATTATTTTTGAGTCGATCTCTCACTCTGTCGCCCAGGCTGGAGTGCAGTGGCACAATCATGGCCACCACAGGCTTGACTTGCTAGGCTCAGTTGAACCTCCTGCCTCAGCCTCCCTAGTAGCTGGAACTACAGGTACATGTCACCATGCCTGGCTAATTTATTTATTTATTGTAAGGATGAGGTCTCTCCATGTTGCCAAGGATGGTCTTGAACCCCTGGGTTCAGGCAATCCTCTCAGTTTGGCCTCCTGAAGTACTGGGATTATACGTATGAGCCACCTCTTCCAGCCTTAAATATCACTTGTTATATTAAATAAAGATCATATAAAGTGCTCAAATCGAGTTGAACAAGTGTCTAACAAAGATGCTGCTCAAATACCTGCATTGGATGAGAAGCTGAACAGAACCCTGAGGTCCCTTTTACCATTAAGAGCCTGAGATTATAAACTTTGATAATTGTAAGGCCAAAAAAAAAAATACTCACTTTAGACAAAACTGTTTTGCTCAATGTTAAGAATTCTCTAGTAGGAAGTTCAGATATTAGAGAGCATTATAATATCCCGATCTCTTGCATAAAATGAAAATGTAAGAGAGCAAAAGGTAAAACAAGGAAAACGGATCTCTTACTTGGGGTCCACCAGAGGCATCACGGACTGGAGCCGGGTGAAGGCATAAGGCCAGGCGTAGCTGAGGGCGGCGGGACAGTGCTTGGGCAAGTTCTCCTGTCGAAGGAAGCTGAAGAGGCAGAGGACCCAGGGGTCTTTGACAGACTGTGCAAATATCCAGACGTGGGAAGGGCTCTTCACATCATAATGGCTATTGACCAGGACTGCATTCCATTCCACCAACCACTGCAGATCCACATTGTGGGTCAGTGGTAACGTTGTCTGCAGGTACAAGAGATGGGTAGTGAGTCAAAGCTGACCTGAAGTTATCCATCCTCACTCGGACTCAGCCTTTTCCTGACCAGACCGGCTTGGGATCTGAAACACCCATCCTGCACCTACCACATATGACCTTGGTGGGTGGTCATCAGTACTTCCTATGCTAGAGGGTAAGCAGCTTAAATGCACAGTTTAAGATCTGAGATCAGTCACCCTAAGTGAAGTAACACAGGAATGGAAAACCAAATGCCACACGTTCTCACTCATAAGTAGGAGTTAAACTAAAAAACTGCAAAGGCATTTAGAACAGCATAATGGATATGGAAGATTCAGAAGGGGGAGTAGGGATAAAAAAAATCACCTATCGGGTACAATGCACAGATGGGGTGGAGGGTACACTTAAAGTCCAGACTTCTTTGCCATGATAGCAATGCATCTATGTAACCAAAACCCATGTATAGCCCTAAAGTCGCTGAGATTAAAAAAAAAAAAAAAAAGGACTTGGGTCATATTCTGACAGGTTTAATGTCACACAGCACAGCGCATCAGTACCCAGAAGCTGGTCACCAAATCGTTGTTGGATATACATGACATTCATACATTTAAACTCAATTGTAGACTTACCATTTAAAAATTCTTAAAAGGTATTCATATCTGAGACTCATAAAGGTGGTTTTATCCCTTCAGTGAGCTCATATTTTTAGGCTATGATTTTTTTTCTGTATTAAAACTTTTATTGATAAGCTATTATATTTTTATTTTATTGCATAAAATAAAAAAGAATTTTAAGTAGCAATTAACACAGAAAGTAAAATAAACATGGATTTTAATAAGTAGATATGCATTAGAGTCCCAGGATTATGATTGCATTTGAGAATACAGTTTCATATTGAGCTTTATCAAAGCTAAGATAAAAATGTATTATCTTATAATAAGAGAAATCCCATGGACCATTTAATAATAAGCAATCGAAGTTATTTGAAGCTGATCTGTTTACTCCAGAGCCCATTTCCTTAGTGACCCTTTTGATGCAGGAATGCCTGATATTGGCTTCTGGGATCCTGACATCCTTGATAGAGGAGAAACAGGTGAGTTTATACCACCCAGATGAAACCTCAGACTTCATTGGAAAGCTCTTAAAACTGTATCTCTGAAACTCTAGTTCCTCAATTATTAATGTTTGCACAAAAAATATTGTCAAATAGTGCTTAGGCAAAGTTCAAGCGATTTCTTGAGTATTAGACAATAAACAGTTTTGTAATACTTCTCAAACACAGACGATCATAGAACCTTTTGGCTAAGGTATAGTTCTTAACTTCTGGCAAATATTCTTTGGAATATAGCTTAAGAAACACTGCTATAGAGATAATTTAGATCACCAATTTACTAAAAATACTTAAAGCATTTACTACTGTGTCTTAGGGTTTGGGGATTTAGAGATTTTCTTTGTCTTTCCTTAGGCTGAAATGCCTCCCTTCTGATTTAGAGATGGCTAAGCCCAATCCTTTATATATCTACAGATGATTTTTGAGATCAGATGTATACTTATTCTTGCCCTGTGACAGCAAGCCAAAATAATTACAAAACCTCTTGAAAGATAAAAATATATACTAATCGGGTCTTATATTTCATTTCATTCTCTTCTAAGTCCAGATATCAAAGTTTAGGGGACACCAGCTTTCAAGTAATCTAGCTGTTGTGTCAAGAGACGAAACCGCCTTAAGTTTGTTGGGCACTAAAGACGATTCATTTTATCTGCTGGGTCTATGAGTCTGGGTTCATTTTATCTGCTAGGTCTATGGGTCCCCATGGGTGAGAGTGCCACAGGAGCGGCCTTAATGGTTTATGGGCTGTGAGGGGTGAAGCTAGAAGACATGACATTCCAACACAGGATGTGCCCAAAGCTTGTGACCTGGGAAAAGCACTGAGCATCCAGCATCCCTGTCTACTGAATTGATGACTTGGGAATTATGATGCTGATCTCACCTAATCTTTCTGTGAATTGCGTGAGACAACAGCTGTAAAAACACCTGGCACAAAGCAGGCACTGCTTCTCCCGTTTCTCTCCCCCTTTTTCTGCATCTTTCTAAGTGCAGTATTGCTGACCTAGTTACAGCTGGCTCAAGCTTTTGATTCTGGTAAACACAGAACAAAAGCACATGGGCAAAACATAACAGTGTTATCTGCAGGCAAGTAAGATATGTATGCACAACAATTGAAGTTGACTACCCCACTTCATGTTAATGTGAAATTCTAAAAAAAAGTAGGACTATTTACCATCTCTTTTAAGGTCTGCAGTGCCTGGCTGGTACTTTTAGGAATTATCATTATTATGACCCTATTCAAGAAAAAAGCAACTAAAAATAGGGACTCATGCTCCATCTCAGCTAGAAAAGGCCACGGAAAACTCACAAATGTCTTCAGGTTTTGTATTCATTTATAATTATCTGACAGGTAGCTGCATATGAGGTATCAGCAATGTGGTTTCTGCAAAGTCCGAGATCTGCCCTGTCTCTCTTCAGCTATTCAGCCGAAGTTAATCCAGGTTCTGTTACTACACTTTTATTTTTTAAAAAGGCAGATGACTAAAATCAGTGTCAGTTTACCTTCTACTTGTTTAGGAAATTGAAAACTGCCAAAATGCTTTTTAAAAGGAAGCATGTAATTGTGCAGGAGCTAAAGGTTTTCCAGATTCAGGCTGGGTGCAATGGCTCACACCTGTACATCCAGCACTTTGGGAGGCTGAGGTGGGAGGATGGCCTGAGCCCAGGAGGTCCAGCCTGGGCAACAGAGTGAGACCCTGACTCAAAAAACAAAACAATGGGCAAAAAGCGGGCAAAATACATGAATAGACACTTCTCAAAAGAAGAGATACGGGCAGCCAACAGACACATGAAAAAGTTCCCAGCCTCACTCATCATCAGAGAAATGCAGGTCAAAACCACAATGAGAGACCACTAACCCCAGTAAGAATGGCCATCATTAATAAAACAAACAACAGATGCTGGCAAGGATGCAGAGAAAAAGGAACACTTCTGGTGGGGATGCAAACTAGTGCAACCTCTTTGGAAGACTGTAGCAATTTCTAAAAGAACTAGAAATTGACCTTCCATATGACCCAGCAATCTCCCTATTGGGAATATACTAGGAGGAACTCAAGTTATTCCACCAAAAAGATACCTGCACATGCATGGTTATTGCAGCACTATGCACAATAGCAAAAACATAGAGCCACCCGTGCTGCCCATTGAAACTGGAGTGAATTAAAAAATGTGGTACCTATTCACAATGGAATATTATGCATTAATAAAGGACAAACATATGGACTTTGCAGCAACTTGGATGGCTTTGGAGTCTATCATACTCAGTGATCTACCACAGAAACAAAGAACAGAATACCATATGTTCTCACTCATAAGCGGACCTTGAACAATTATATTACTATAAGAAAGGGATTGGCAGTAGTGGGAAACTGCCAGGGGAAAGAGGGTGGGATTGGCAATTGAAAAAAACTGCCGGGGGGGAGAGGCACACCTCATTCACAAGGGTACCTGCATAATCAACGTTTGTACCCCACATTCTTTAAAATAAAAGAAAAAAAAATCCGGAGAAATTCTTTTTGAAACTGCAGTTTGTAAGATATTATCTATTCCTAAGGCTCAAATTTTGTTCAAGATTTATCTGTATGTTTTCTAGGCTAGCATGTGAAAAACTAGTCTTATTTTTCATAAGTACCTTTGGGGTTAGTTTACAATCAAACATAAATGCCCAAATTCTTCCACACAATTTTTCTTTGTCTCTCTTTTTCGGATAAGTCTAGAATTTATATTAAATATTTAATTAAATTATATATATTTATAATATATATATAATTAAATTAAAGATATATTCCTATACTAGACAGTAAGCAGCTTAAGTGCAAAGTATAAGTAACGGGGATCAGGTGTATACTTACCGAATCTGAAACTGCTACATGAATAAAGCTTTCAAGAATGGAAGAACTTAGCTGATCCATGACATCAATCATCGGCCTATCGTCATCCTGTACAAAAGGGTGACGATTACTCTCCATGGGAAAATGAATCCTCCCCACCCACCCCACCGCCTTCATCTGGTACATGAAACAGAACAGCTTGCAAGATAGCAATAAGCGTTTTCTCACAGAAAAGTGTGTGCCCAGATGGTGAAAAGCAGTGAGTAAAATTTCCTGTGGTTCTGAGCTTTGCCTTCCAAGTTTTAGTGGAAGATTAAAGTTCCAATTTCACGCTGTACTGAAAAGACATATACCTGAATTTCAAAGACTCATACATGTACATGAGAACCTAAATACCAGTGCCATACGTTATTCACTAAAATGTTCATGCTGTTAATTTCAAGAAATGGAGGCTGGGCATGGTGGCTCATGACTGTAATCCCAATACTCCTAGAGGCCAAGGCAGGAGGATTGCTTGAGCCAGGAGTTTGAGACCAGCCTGGGCAACATAGGGAGACCTTGTCTCTACAGAAAAAAAAAAAAATAGCTGGGTGTGGTGGTGCTCGCCTGTAGTCCTAAGTAAATGGAAGGCTGAGGTGGGAGGATTGCCTGAGGCCAGGAGGTTGAGGCTGTGATAAGAGGTGATAGTGCCACTGTACTCTAGCCTGGGCAACAGAATGAGACCTTGACTCAAAAGAAAAAATAAAAAAAGAAAACTCTGCAAGAACAAGCTTTGTCAGACCACTAGATGCTACTTAATTAATTATTTATTCATTTATTATTTTTTTGAGTTGGAGTCTCACTCCGTCACCCTGGCTGGAGCGCAGTAGCATGGTCATGGCCACCCCAGCATCGATCTCCTGGGCTCTGGCGATTCTTCCGCCTTAGTCTTCCAAGTAGCCAGAACTACAGGTGTGTGCTACCATGCCCAGCTAATTTTTTGATTTATTGTAGAGATGAGGTCTCGCCAAGTTGTCTCGAACCCGTGGACTCAGGTAATCCCCTCACCTCGGTCTCCCAAAGTGCTGGGATTATAGGCTTGAGCCACCGCTCCCAGCTACTACCTATTTTAAGTCACTGGCCTGGTAAAATAACCGATAAACTGTTAACTGTGATTAAATTTTAGTCACAAAGAAACTAAGGACTGATCACACACATTCTTTGTGATAGCTACACAGTATGCAGCTATTTGATAAAAGAAGCAATTGGAAAGGGCACAAGAGATAGTATCTTGTGAAAATTCTTCTACATAAATAATCTATAAATGCATATATATATATATATATACACATACGCATACACATTTGCCATCCTTTACGATGGGGAAACTCAGAAATATAAAATTATTCACCTGTAAACCTTACAAGAAAGTCTGAACGTGTGATGTGTGCATAAGAATTGGTTTTAAAAAGTTGTGGCTGGTCAAAGAAAGCTACATATGAGAAATATCCTCCTTGACACAGTCTGGTTGACTTAAGAACATGGGGCCTTAGAGGCATATATATACACATACGTGTACACACACACACACACACACACACACACACACACACACACACACACACACACACACACACACATATATCTGGCTTTAGATTCCGGTCCTGTCACCTCCCAGCTGTTGATTTTGACCTCTCTAAACTTCATTCTCAGTATCTGTACATTGGGATAACAACAAAACCAATTCTTCGGTTATTGTGAGGGTTAAGTGAGATAATATGTGTAAAGCACTTAGCACAGGGCCTGACATACACATAACTATTATTATCATTACTCTCATAATTAGAAACTTAATACAGCATGTCTTAGAGATCCATCTAGCAGATGCTAGAGATGTGGCCCTGAAATAGATCAGAAAGAAAAAAATGCGAGTGGAAAGGACTGTGACAAACATGAAAATATTTTGTAAAGACAGTGACCATATTATCATAAAAACCAAGATTAGTGGTTTAAAAGAAGAAAATAGAAAGTGGTAATTTTGAAAGTAGTATGTGACATTAAAAGCTGCTCTTTCTTTCATTAACACATGCACCGGGTTTGGCCCTTCGAGGCAAGCCACAAACTATAATATCTGAACAAGGGTGTACAGCGCTTGACCGGGGGTCATGCTTCATAATTGGCTTTCTTCTTCCATCTCAAGAGGATGTGTTTCTTGTGAAGCCATTTTTCTACCGTCGTCAAGATTAAGCAAGTTTCAGGCTCTTTGGTATCTTGATCATTTAAAATGGGAGATATTTTTTTTTCAAGTTTATTCCCTAAATGTAATAATACGTTCTTAATTAGATGTATGTTAACCACTATAAAGAGAATGGTCCTCAACCTGAATTAATATTAAAATTGTTCACTTCTTAGCAAAGAAGAGTCCTTCAGGAACCAGGAATGGTCATTTCTGTTGTTCTTAGACTGTATGACTCATCTCTAGTGATCAAGAATGCTATCACATAGCTAAAAACCCAACAATAAATGAAAGATGTGCTGAGACCACACGTGACACAAAAGTCCATGAAACAGTCATGCATTATTTGTAGTTTTCAATCTAAATTTCAAAAGAGTTGAGAGTAATACATTGAAAACTTTAGAAGAATAATCCATACCTCAGGCTGACCCAGGGCAATGAATAAGGCTCGAATTTCCTTGAGTATTAAAACGGAGAGTTTGCGTGTGGCCACTTGAAAGCTGCAGAGTAAAACCAAAGCAAACCCTTCCACGGCATGGAGCACGCTGCAGTGAGGACCTCGTTCCGACTGGATTCTGTGACTGGAGCCATTGGGAATTAACTGTCGTGCAATAAGTACAAGATTCTATATTCAGTCAAATAATAACGGAAGGAGAAGAAAATGCTTTTCTACATCCATCTTTCAGCACATTTGACCTTGTAACATTAAACTGCATGAACATGGTTTAGACCCAGGCATGTCTATGAATTCATTATCCATGAAATATCCTAGATCCCTTTTTCTTTGTCAGATCAATCGTGGCTTTAAAATATCACCAACCACCTGTTACCTCTGATGAAAAACAGCTTTTCAAGGTCTATTAATAGTAGCAAAAACAAAACTGCTTTCATCCACACCATTTGGGATTATACTATATATGCAATCAAAGTGGCCTAATTTGTTTTCACTTAAATTCTTTGTAGACTTTTGGATAGTATTAAACCAAATTTTCAAACATTTACTTTCTATTCAGATTTCCTTTCTTGCTTGTATTTGATGCTGATCTAGGTTTTACTTGGTTCTGTGATGGGCTCTGAGGGTTCCCAAAACACAACCAAGTAAATCTAAAGCAAACCCACCTTCATTTCCATTTTCCTTTTACAAGGATGCATAAGCCTACTTTTTTCTTCCTATTGTCTGCTGGCATGTATAGAACACAAGGAAGGAGGAGGGACCTGAATGCTGTCCCTGAGGTGAGCCTGTCCGGGACCCCAGCTGTTCCCCAGATGCTATGATACTGCCCCAAGCTTCCATAACCCTCAGACCCTCAGTTACCCTTGTCCCTAGAGAGACCCCTGTCTCCATCTGCTTGTCTCCAATGCCAAGTCTCCACTGTCCCTACCCTCCTCTTACAACACTCCTCTTCAATGCACTTTCCAGAATTTTTACCATTTAGGACAGGGCATGAAAGGATAAAGAAACCACAAGACTGCATTTTCTTCTCTGTGGATATTGGACAAAGCAACCTGTATGCTGCTGTCTAAAAACACAACCGATGGGCTGCGAACTTTCATGTATCTACCTCCACATCCACGTCCAGCTCTAACTTCCTGGCCTGTAGTTGTTTATTCTTGCAAATAGATGTGTAATCCTAATTCTCTGAAGAAAACAATCTCTAGTCCTTGTCTAGCCTTGTTAATGTTAACGAATCTAAGAGCCTGAGGTGGTATAGTGTGTCCTGAGTTCCTTGGGTCACAGTGTATGCCATTGGAAGAACTAAAGGCCACCATCGGGGAGGAAGCTCTTACGTGCTGTGAAATTAAAAACTCCAAAGGCCAGGCGTGGTAGCTCACGCCTGTAATCCCAGCACTTTGAGAGGCTGAGGCGAGAGGACTGCTTGAGCCCAGGAGTTCAACACCAGCCTGGGCAACATACCAAGACCTCATCTCTACAAAAAACTAGCCGGGTGTGGTGGTACATGCCTGTAGTCCCAGTGTCTTAGGAGGCTGAGACTGAAGGACCGCCTGAGCTCAGGAGGTTGAGGCTACAGTGAGCCACGATAGTGCCACCACAGTCCTCCAGCCTGGGAGACAGAATGAAACTCTGACTCACAAAACGAAACAAAAGAAAAACAAAACTCCAAAGGTTCTCGGGGCTGCCACTCATCCACATTTATAGTGCCTGAGAGAATATACATTCACGGGGAGAGTGTGAAGATCACCTCTGAGTTTCTGATTTTGTTGGCTTGCTCGTAGGCTTTTCCTTGAGTCTGTATGACCAGTTTCCACTGAGTGAGCAGCTGCAGTAGCAGCTTCAAGGATGAATCAAGGAGCGTGTGGTGCATGTCGTTCACTTCCCGAAGCAGGAAGTTGGTAAAGCCAAATAGCACATCTTCTCTCCAGTCTGAGAAGTCAACAAGTAAACCCTGGAGCGAGTTTTGTGCGATATGTCGGAGTTCATCATCCATGTGAATCGAGAGCCTGTGGAATGAATCGAAGACAATAACATCACTCACTTCAGTAACTATTCTTCTAGAGCCAAGGAGGAAAGTGTATAGGTCTCTGCTGCTACTTGTGTCTGAAAAGTGCATTTCTCTTATTTACATTTTTTTTTGAGTCGGGGTCTCACTCTGTTGCTCAGGCTGAAGTGCAGGGGCATGATCATGGCTTACTGCAGCCTCGATCTCCTAAGCTCAGGAGATCCTTCTACTTCAACCTCCTGAGTAGCTGGGACTACAGGTGTGTGTCACCATGCTTGCCTAATTTTTAATTTTTTTTTTGGTAGAGATGAGGTCCCGCTATGTTGCCCAGGTTGGTCTTGAACTCCTGGGTTCAAGAGATCCTCTTGCCTTGACCTCTTAAAGTGCTGGGATTACAGGTGTGAGCCACTGCGCTTGGCCTCCCTTATTTTTTTCCGCTTAGTAAATGACTTAAATGAATATTTTTTAAATGGTATTTTTAGAATAAAAGAAGCATTGCAAAGATACTATTTTCTTACAGTATTCACCCAACCTCCCTTCATGTTAACATCTTACATAACCACAGCATATTTATTGAAACTAAGAACGGATTCTGGTACAAAGCTATTAACTAAACTACAAACTTTATTCAGATTTCACCAGTTTTCCACTAATATCTTTTTTCTGTTTTGGAATGCAATCCATGACACAACACTGCATTTAGCTGTACTGTATATGAATACATTACTGAATACATTACTGACTACATTACTGAATACATTACTGACTACAGAATAGATTAGTATCAAATCCTATTTTTAAGGATGAGAAACCTGTGTACTGGAGAAGCTAAAAGACTCATCCAGAAGTTCAGCAAAAATGAGCAATCAGTTAGGCTGGTGGTCCTAAATCAGTTTTGTTTCTTGGGATATTTGACCATGTCTGGAGACATTTCTGGCTGCACAATGTGGGACATTTCTGGCTGTGCAATGCGCCTGCATCTCTCTAGTGGATAGAAGCTAGGCATATTGCTAAACACCCTACAATGCACAGGACAGCTTCCTATGACCAAGAATTTTCCTGCCCCGAATGTTAATAGTCCCAAGATCGAGAAACTCTGAGTTAGTCAACTGAAGAATTTCAATGTATTTGTGGTTTAACCAAGAGCATTGCAATAATATTAAGTCTCGACATTGGTACAGAGCATTACAGCTAACAAAATGCTTTATGTATTCATTCATTCATTTATTTAATAAACAGATACTTTGGGGAGCCTCCTAAGATTCAGGCACCGTACCCACTGTGCACAGCACTTAGGATTCAGTGTGTGGAGTTCAGTGTGGCTGTGCCTACAACACAGTGCAGGAGAGGGAGCAGCCAGCTTGCTGAAGGGTCCGTGGGCCACCCAGGAAGGCAACACAGCAGAGTAGAGGTCAAGAGTGTGTGCTCCGGAACCACTGTCCTGGGTCAGTGTCCTGACTGTGTCACTTGTTAGCTACGTGCCCTCAGGCTAGTTACTTAATCTCTCTAAGCCTCAGACCCCTCATTGGTAAATCAGGGATAGTGACTGTAACTGCATCCCATAAGCCTGTTGAGGATCACCGAATAATCTAGGTGCAGTATTTATTACCACATGGAGCATGCAGTAAGCACTCAGTGGATACTGGCCATTATTATTAGAAGAAAGCTGTATCCTGAAAGTTACAGGGCAAGAAACGTGATCAGATTCACATTTGAGAAAAAAGAGTCAGGCCGGAATAGGGACGATATCTTGGAGAAGAAACAAGGCAGAGAGAAACCAATGACTTAAGTGACAAGTGGTGAGAGCCTGACCCAAGGCGGGCAAGCACAGTAAGGCAAGGAGGGAGAGAGGTCAAAGAGATTTAGAAGACAGAATTTCCAGGACTCTAGCTTGGAGGTGTTCGTTGTCAGAGAAGAACAAGGCTGAGTCCATGGGGGCTGCCACAACCAAGAGATATTAGATATTATCTCTAGCAGATGACAGAAGAGATTGTGGCCCGGACTGGCTCAGGAATGTGCTCAAAGTTAATAATGGGAAGAGCCAGGATTTCAACTTCTAATCTTTAATCCAAAACATTCTCCACAAAGCAAGTCTGGTACAAGTTGCCCCAGTTACATCTAATGAATAGATAGTATTTCAAAAGCTTGATAAGATAAGCAAACTCCTTTCTTATTCTGTAAAGCATGAAATACAACCAACTGGTCCACATTTGACAACATAAACCAGGTAAAAAGCTCTTTAGTTCCCAGATTTACACCGAGCCAGGGTATATATTTTCTGTCATAAAAACATGTAACATTCTATAAAGATGCTGAGAAGAAAGCTCTAAGTTAATCCTTCATGGACATCTTATGCAATTCAATCTATAGTTTTTAAGTGGCTTATAGTTGCTGAAAGAAATCTAAGAAGCCTCTACCTTGGGCTTCCAGTCAAGGATTGCCTAAAGCAGGAATTTTTAGACTTTCTTTATATGTTTTTTTTTTTTTTAGCTTGGACATATAGTTTATTTAGAAATTAAATTAGACAGAGAGAGAAAAGTGACCTCCCCAAGGTAGAGGAGGGGGCCAGAGCTTAGGAAAACATGCCGGCCATGGCTCAAAGAGCTACATGGTCAGACCAGAGCTTAGCAAAACAATGGCCTGACTTTACATTTCAATCAGCAGCAGACCCATTTTTTTTTTCCAATAAAATTTTATGTAGCACTTCGTAATGGTTAATTCTATGTGTCAACTTGGCTATGTCTCAGTGCCCAGATAATCGGCCAAACATTATTCTAGGTGATTCTGTGAGGGTGTTTTTGGCTGAGACTAACATTTAAATCAGTGGACTGTGAGTAAAGCAGGTTGCCCTTCATAACGCGGGTGAGCCTCATCCAACCAGTTAAAGGCTTCACTAGAATGAAAAAAAACCCAAACAAACCTGGCCTGCCCCAAGCAAGAGAGAATTTTCCAGCCTTTAACTTTATCTTCAACATTGGTTCTTCCTGGTTCTACAGCAGACTGCTTTTGGATTCAAACAAGAAGCTTGGCTCTTCTGAACTTCCAGCCTGCCGGCCTCTGCACTGAACTACAGCATTGACTCTTGTGGGTATCCGACCTGCTAGCCTACTGTGCAGATTTTTGGACTTATCAGCCTCCATAATTGCATGAGCCAATTCCTCACAATAAATCTCTTTCTCTCTATATATACTTCCCATTGCTTCTGTTACTCTCTAGAGAACCCTGATAATATAAACTCTAATATATAATACATAAAATCCTCTGGTTAAAGTTTGGGTAAAAGGCTCAAAGCCCACCCATTTGGGGAGAAAACACCCCTTCTCTCCCCAAGCAGCTTTGAGTCTTCTCTGTAGTCCATAGTTTGAAAACAGTAGGTTGTGAAAAGCACCTGAAGTCATTTTCCCATCTTATGCTTATTATTCCTGTTTACTGCATTTATACCTGTCTATTGTCCTAGCTGCCTTAGAGAAATAGACTTCATTTTTAGAACAGGTAAGAGTATTATAGCCAGGAAGCACAGGTACTAAATAAATGTTAACTGTTGGTAATGATATTGGTCATTGTTAGGGTTGTATTCCCCACAAAATCCATATGTTGAAGCCCTAACCCCCCAGTTATCTTACAATGTGACCTTATTTGGAAATGAGGTCACTGCATATGTAATTAGCTAAGTAAGGAAACTGTCACATGGGAATAGGGTGGCCCTCTGCCCAATATAACTAGTCCTTATAAGAGAGGGACATTTGTAGACAAACAAGTCCACAGGGTAATGCCAGGTGAAGATAAGGGCAGAGATCAGGGTGAGGCTTCCACAAGCCAAGGAATGCCAAATAATGCCAGAAAGTCACAGAAGAAGGGTGAGATGCATGGGAGCAATCCTCTCTCATGGTCCTGAGAAGGAAGCAATCCTGTTGACACCTTAATCTTGGACTTCTAGCCTCCATAACTGTGAGAGAATAAACTTTTGATGTTTCAACCTTCTTTCTGTGGCACTTTGTTATGTCAACCCCAGCAAACTGATACAGTCATGCCACCAAGAATAAAAGTCATGTCATGGTCTATTTACACGAAGCCTTTACGTGAGGTACAAAAACCTCAGCTTTCTCCTCCTCATCTAACTTTGCCCTCATATGCAATTTGCAATCTAGTTCTGCTTTAACTTCTTCAAATCCACAAAGCAGCATCATTTTAGGGGCTCTGAGAATTCCAGTGCCGTCTCTGCTATTCTGGGTGGGTATGCTGCTTCTTTTTTTCAAATCAGAGCCTTACTTTGTCATTGAAGTTGGAGCACAGTGGAGCAATCACAGTCACCCTAGCTCAACCTCCTGGGCTCAGTGATTCTTCTGCCTGAGCCTCCCGAGTAGCTGGGACTACAGACATGCACTCCCATGCCCGGCTAATTTTCTAATCTTCTTTTTTGTAGACACAAGGTCTTGCTATGTTACCCAGGCTGGTCTCCAACTCCTGGGCTCAAGCAATCCTTTCGCCTCAGCCTGCCAAAGTGCTGGGATTATAGGAGTGAAACACAGTGCTTGGCTTGCCTCCTGAAATGATAGTGTTTACATGCTCCACCTTGAGAAAGGCTCAAAAATATTCCTGGGGGATGAGACACAGGACCAGGGAGGAGAAGGGGAGAGTCTGGGACAGAAGACCCGGCTGATCATAAAAGCAGAACGCCTGTAGAAGAGAAAGGCCCAGACTGTCATGGAACTGAGAATGAGTGAAAATGGCCATCAAGAAAAGTCTGTGGGCAGCAGAAGAGGGGGAAGGGAAGATGCTGTGAGAAGGAAGAGGTTCCTTCTCTGGGCTTGTGCCTTGAAGTGTATGGAGAGAGAGCTAACTGTCAGATACAGTTGCCATCTCTTCCACTCAGATCTCATTTTTACTTTTATTAGATTTTGACCAGATCATCACAGATCATCTTGTGAAACACATGGAATTTAACGCTGTAAAACAGAAAACAGAAAAATCATTAGCTATCTAAAAAGGAAAGGAAAGCTT